TCTGCTAAATATAGGTCAATAATCAATATTACAGTGCAATCTCAAGATCTTTTTTTTTTTGTTCTTTGTTTCTATTCCATGTTTATTATTATATTTCATTAAGACAAAAGTCAGCATTATTTTTATCATGTTTTAATGTACTATTCTTTCTAATCGACTGTTTCGTTTGATTTGTTGTTGTTTTAGTGTTCTTTAATATAAATTATATGGTATAAAATTGGGACGAATATTTATTTCGTGAATATGAATAAAACATCTGTACAAATAATTTCTCACATAGAAATAGTGGTATTCGAGTTATTCTGCTTAGTCTTTTATTGAATATTTATGAGTTTCGAATTCTAATAAATATAAAAATATGCTTTTTTAAAGTATATTGTTATAGTTATGAACAATAATTATGAGAGATCGACTTGAAAATATGTTGGAATACATAAGTTATTTGATTTAATTATACATCACTAATAGCAATTGTTGATTGATGAGCATTGCCCACTTGTGAAGAATAAAACATGAAACGAATAATTGTTGAAACGAAGAAAAGACGCTTATCAACATGTAAATTACTATCTCATTACATTAAAGAGATTTAAAACTGTCTTTTTTTTTGGATTTTTAAATTTGTAGGACTCTTTCATAACTTTCTTTCTTCTTTGATAGCATTGATTTAATAACAGAAAAAAATCGTAATAAATTAGATAATAATGGGTGTTCCAGGAAAAATGAAGATTTCAATATTATGCTGATAGTTTTGTTACCTTTCAAGTTTAATATTGAAAGATTTCATGTTCAATTCTCGAGAAAATTGTATAGAAGAATTTCATATTAAAGGTTATCATGAAAAATTATAGACTAAAGAATATGCGAAACTGAATTCATATATTTTGTCAAAGAGGCGTGTCTGGACTTCGTGAGTTCTGAACTCATGGAGTCCTCAAAATATCAACTTCACTCACGAAATCTTCGGAACTTAAGCAACTCTAGCAACTAAAGCAGTTCCCAGAACTTAAGAATTTATTGAAATTGAGGTAACAGTTCAGCCTAGTCATTCAAAAGAAATGGACATAATCATGCTTCATTAAATCATAAGTTTTAAACAACGATAATAGTATCGTACATCCAGAAATTCAGAAAACCAGAAATATTACGACAGATGACTAATATAGAGTATTATCTTTTTCGTAGATATTCAAATCTAGAATATAGTTATGCGTATAAGAAGAAGTAAAACCAAAAGCCACAATCACATCCTTTCGTGAGTTCCGTGAGTGGAGTTGCATATTTGATAGTTTCAAGAGTTCAGAACTACCGAAATTCGATCACTGCTGAAAATTTTCATCTAGTATAGATATTCCTGACGTCTTTGAATAAGAAATACTATGCATCAAGAGTTTAGAAAATTAAGCTTTGTGTAATTTATATTTTTTTGTCCATACAGCTACATTGAGAGAACCTTTTTTTTCTTTTCAAACAATTCTGAGAATCTAGACATACTGCTTTTAACTACTAGCGACATTAACGAGACAGTTGATTATATACGATGATAAATGATAAAAATCTTTTACTAATTGTTTTAAAAAGTATCTTTTCGATTAAGATTTTTAATATACTAAATGCTGATTTAAATCTAAGGAGTTTTATTATTGGAGAAGACAGTAACAAATAAAAAAAAAAGAAAATGAAAACAACAGCTGAGTGTTCATTTGTACATTTCAAATGACTTCTGTTCCTAATTTTCTATTGAAAATTAAAATACAAGAAATTGAAAATGTGATAATATCAATATTTAGTACCATTACTAAATGTGAAATACTAACATGAAGTTTTCAATGAACAACATTATACTTCTTTATCTGTTATCATTGGATTATATATTTCTCTTCGATTATAATGATAAATCCACTGATGATCACTTTTAAATCTTTTTGATGGTGAACTTTTATTAATTACCAGTTACTGTATCAAAAAATATTTCATCTTTTTCTCATATGCTATTGTAAAGTAACATCCATAGTTTACTTTTGTCATGTCTCATATTCAATAACTTCACAAGGGGATAAATTCATAGTTGTTCTTATCAACACAAAAGTGAAAGTTTTTCTTCGCCAATTATAGAAGGATATAGAATTATGTTACTAAACGAACGACCGCAACACTTATATTACTATATACTTTGGAAATAAGGAACTTATAGTATTTTACTGAATTATTTTTAAAACAGAAGTAATTCTTTTAGTCTTAGAAGCTATTCAGAAAAAAAAACTTGCTGAAGTTTATCTCGTTTTCTTGGTTTAAAATTTGACTTACGAATTTTTAAGATATTAAACTCATTGACTTTGGTATAAATATATGACCTAAGGCGATCTTGCATTATCAACAATTGCCATTGGTGAAAATTATTTTAATGAATGTTTTTGATTTACTTTATAGTAGAATCATTTTCCTATATGTCAATCTGAAGATCATTCAAAAAAAGTACTATATAAAATGCTGTATGTTTTGTCCTTCGAAATAGAATAATTTCCACAGACTAAGAAGAGTTTTCGAATTTTTATCAATTTTTTCCATTTCTTTCAGCTAATTTACAATACTAAAGAATAAAAAGAATTGATACAATCAAATGCAGCTAGCTAATAGTATTCAGTCTTTGATTTGTCACTTGGAAGCTTGTCATGTCAAAGATATGGATAAATACTTTATTTTATATGTTTTTCTTTGACCCATTTTTCAGACTATTCGATGGCATCAAGAGAGGCATGTTCTGTCAATGATTGTAAGAGAGCTGCAACATGCTTGTGCCATCACTGTGAAAACAATGTATGTTCCAGACATTTTAATGAACATCAAACACAAATCAATAATGAATTGTTACCACTCACTGATCGTCTCAACCAACGTATAAGTCGTATTTTTATGATATTCGAAAAAATTTTTTTATATTTTAGTTAAGATGAGATTACAGACTAAAGAAAATCAAAGTGGTCCATTAGCTGTGCTGAAAGCGTGGCGTGATAAGAAATATGCAGAAATTGACCAAGAGTATAATAAAAAAATACAAGAATTCAATAGAAAAATAATAAAACAAGAACAAGAAGTATCACAAACTATAGAAAATATAAAAGAACTTATTAATGAAGGTGAAGCATCTTCTGATCAAGTCAAACAATTGAAGAACAAGATTGAATTTATAGAAAATCAAGTGAATAAACTAATGACAAATGAACAGATGCAAAGTTCATTTGAGGACATCATTGATAAATTTAATCTCATTAATACTTATGTTCAATTTGGTCGTCGAAAATGTTTAGTTAAAGGAAAAGTATTTTGTCGAGGCAAAAATCTCTATGCTTTGGAATGTGAAATGCCATTAACAGGCTATGATGGATTGTGTCCAAAATGTCGAGATGTTCATATTTCGTTGCAACACGGTCGAGGTTTTTACGTGTCTTGCGAAACTCTTCATGAAAAAGTAGCACAACAGTATGAAAAACAGACGTAGAGTACGAAACGGTCTCTTTGTTACTTAATCTTTCGTCTGGTGATGATTCAATCATCTTCCAATAACGTCTATGTTAGAATTAGAGTTAGATAAATAATTTTTAAATAACAGCTTTTTATACAAACCTAAAAACCTAACAAGCACTCATATGTATTCTAGAACACACAGAATATTTATGATCATTTTTTATTTGAAGTTTGTTGTTTTGAAAGATTTTTGTTCAACTTAAGTTTCATGAAAAATTTTTCTTTATTATATTTTTGATTTAAACATTATGTAATTGAAACTCAAATCTATATACATTGATGTGAAAGTGTTGAAATCTTATGTCAACGGATGAATAGTTCTTAGTTAAACTCTAAACTATTGATGTTTATTTAAAAAATATTGCAATGACGAAAAGGTATTATTTCCTTTCGAAATTGTCAATAGATTTTTGTACAATAAAGAATCTAATATAATTTAATTGAAAATTAATTCGCTATCTATTTCTAGATTTTGAATAATGATTTGCATTTTATAACAACAATCGATTTCTCTAACAATTTCTCCATGTATTCATCAAAGTGATGTTGACAACGATCTTCAAGTTTGTTTTTTTGTTTATTATAGAATAAAGATATCACTTTATCAATATCATAAATGACAAGTCATTAGTATTTATCGTTTTCAGGACGTATTTATGATATGTATCTAATACATTAACAATCTCTAGTTTTACTAATAGTATTTCATAACGATTCAATTGGTTTGGATCAATTCAATTAACGTATTTATGACCTTATTACCTATATAAATGAACGTATTGAAACCCATTATGGTGATAAGTATAAGCTATTAATTGACATATCAATATGATTATTATACATTATTATATTTTATCATGTTCATGTACACATGGACTTGTTGTTCATTTTAATTAATTATTAATTTTTCAACGTGCAAGTCTTCATCTATTTAGAAGTGATATTATATTTTCATTTTTATTTTCATGATCATGTCATTAAGCTTTCTTTGAAGAACTTTTTCATATTCTATCTGAACAATCAGAATCTTTATGTTTATTCAACGATGAGCAACATCGTTTCGTGTATACAAAGAAAACTCAAATTTAAAATCTAGATTGTGCATTAAATTAGTTTAATTAAATAGTACTTTATTTAAATGTTGTACTACTTAAACATTTCGAAATGGCCATCAACACGATGGATCAGTGTTCAGATCGCTACTATATCAGACAAATGAATGTATATAAGAAGGATTTCATTTTCGATAATTGTCTTAAACCAAAATTGAATCTGCAAAAACAGATTTCAGCATTTTATATTTAAAATAAAGATTATTTATTATACAATTTGGAAAGATCATGATCTATAAATTGGAAAATAACAGGAAAATTCTTGCTATTTGTGATTTTGTGTCCTACGAAAAAAACATTATCATATATTTCATTTCTAAAATCTCACATAATTAAGTAATGTTTTTTTTTTGTTCTTTTTAGATGCATTCATCAACGTTTTTTCGTGATGGTTTGAAGGTATATAACTTAATATGACTTGTTTTTAATGTAGGACACGAGTGTTTTTTCTTTTTAGACTTCACCATTTGTTTCATTGATGAGCAAACATACGTTTGATGAACCGTAAGTTATTTCACACAAGCAAGAGATAAGAAATAATATAAATAATCCCTTTGTTTGATAGGAAATCTCCACCAAGCCCTTTATCACCTGGACAACAAAAACGTGTTCGTTTTCTTGTTGATAATAATAATGATCTATCGAGTATGGTTTTTCTCAGGTAGTTTAAATAAATAAATTATCGTTTGTTTTCTATTGTAGTTGATGAACATCAATCATCGATTTTATTTCGACAAGGAAATATCGGAGGACGTACTGGTAATATTAGTGGGTTTGATGAAATGGAAAACAGTCGTCGAATAACATCAAATTTACTCTTTGGTAATACTAGTTCTTCATATGATTTTGGATTAATGACACAAACAGCTGGGATGGACCAACCAATAGGCAATTCTAATGTTACAAATGATAACTTTACTTTTATTCAGGCAACTCAACGAACAAAGTAAGAACTTTAGAAATTTATAAGAAATAATCAACATGAAAGATTTATTTTTTCTTCGAAGCAATTATCTTATGATCTTTTTTTTTTTATTTGATTTTGTTCTGTTTGTAATAAATCGATTCTAGATCTTCAATTTTAATAAAAATTGTGCTGATTTTTTTTTTATTTTGTTGTTGTTAAATGTATAGTCTTGCTAATGAAAGTGGAAATGACGGAACATGGTTGACTGTATTTGGCTATCGTACGAATACTGATGCTCGAACATTGATCGACGAATTTAGCCGTTTTGGAATAATAGAAAAATATGTGGTAGGAGTAGTTTGTTCCTGTTTTATTTACTATTTATCGATTCAGATCGTTGATACATCGAATATATTTCATGTTAAATTTGCAACTCGTCTTCAAGCTCAACGTGCTCTGAGAAAACATGGACATGTTTTTGGTCAAATAATGATTGGTGTACGATATTGCACTGATAAGGTAAATTATATATTCTTTCATTAAATAATATATCATCACATTTAGGATATTATTGGACTTAAACCACAAAGTAATGTTAATGTTTATCTTGAAAATCCTTTTCTTATACGAAATCGACATCGTCTAGGAATTTTACCAGTATGAACGAACGAACGAAAATTTTCATTCTATAATTGAATTTGATTTGTTTCTATTTTTTTTATTTGTAGTCTGCACCACTGACAGTTCAAAATTGATTCCACTTCTTATTTGTATATATCATTGTCAATCATAAATTGAATTTATATCGATTCTCAACTTCATTATTATTTTTTTTGGTTGTGTTTGCCTATTATTCATTTGCGCAGATAGTACAGTTCTTATTTTCTTATTTGTTTGCTTATCTTTGTTCTTATTTCACTCTTAATTGAAATGGTATCATTAATAAAATAAATCATATATATCTTAATGTCTAACAGACAAGTTTTTGTTCAAATTTGATCGAATAAATCAGATTCTTGATCATTGCTTGAAGAAGTTGATCATATGTTTTTTTTTTGAACATGATAACGAAAATAAATATTATAATAACTAAATCTAAAGGAGCCTCGTACTGAAAACTGTTAGATCAAAATTAGAAAAACTATTCTTTTCAATAGCATTTGCTCAAATAACGGTTATATATCGTCACTGTTAGTAGACAACGAGATGATCAAAATTATTCAGACATCATATCGAAATCATCAGCCTTCCAATAGACTCAATTCATCATTTAAACAGTCGCTGACTTATTTAGCTCTATATGTCAAATTAGAATTGACACAGACTGAACTAATGTTTTCATCCAGCACTCACCAAAGCGTTGATAAACAACCAAAATGAAATAAAAAACTTAAGGTATCGAAAG